GCAATAATTACATGTCATTCTTATATTAAGTGTCTGGTTGGCATTTTGTTAATTGGATCTGAATAACTGAAACATGCTATTATGAATTTATAACATGCTCAAATGCTTTCTTTATTGTTGGGTCTATGTTTGGTAGATTTTTTTGATTATTTAAAAAGTGATTAATGCCTTGTCATCATCTATAGGTAGTCCTGAACTGTAATTCCCCGGCTTTGAACGGTGCTGCATTTTCAGTTTACTTCTCTGGACTGCATTTCCCTGTTCTTTTGCTTGTCTATCTGTTGCCTGGCTGCCAACTCTGGACTCTTGGACCACACCCATGGACAATGTTCTACATATTTTACTTGCCTGACAGTTCCCAAACACAACCATGCCTACATGTATGCTCCCTTGTCAGCACACTGCCTGAGTCCTTGTTGTGTCTCTTTCTCACCTACTGTATAGGTTCATCTTACACCTCATAGACTGCTGCTTATACAACCTTCAGTGGTGGGACATGACAGAAACATAAGAAAGTGAAAACACTGTCAATATGTAAATATCATACAAGAAAAAGGTTTTGAATACCTACATTACCTAAGTTGGTCCACATTGTTGGACCGGACACTATATAGGAGACCTAAAGTAATTAGATCCTCCTGGAAATTTTAATAAAAGAAAAAGATTACCTGATAAAACATAGAACATAAATACATTTATTTGGATTATTCAGTTAACAAAATGTTCCAACAGTAAATACCTTTGATGTTAATACGTTTGCAAGCCCTAAGATACAGTAACTTGTGGCACCTCCTTGAACATCAGTGACTTCAACTAGACATTTCCTAACTGTCTTTCACATCGGCTTTTATGAATTTTGGCCAGGTCTTCCTGTTGCAGCAAAGCAGAAGTCAGGACATCAAGTTGGCCCTCCAACAGGGGAATCTTAAGATGAGAGAGGGAGTCTGCCCTCATCCAAAGAGATTCCATCCCTAAATCCCATGCCTAGAGCTCTGCCAGTGTCTTTTAAGTATAAAGAGAGTATAGTTTCAATCCTTTTTTCCCATATCACATTTCTAAAGAGAGAAGACATGCATCCATATAGGATTTCAATATTCTTGATGTGGTTTTTCCTCTTAATATCATCTGGTTGTTGTCCCACTTTGTCCTGCAATGCACTACCAAGAAATTCACTCAGTCTTTACTTTCCAAACTGTTCCAAGAGACCCCCACCTCAAGATGATATCCAAATGTTTTTTTTTGTACATCCCATTCATGTCGAAAATATAATGTGAACGTTATTTCATGCAGCAATCACCTCTCCATAGCCAAGGAAGTGAGAGAGAAAACTAAAAAAATTCTCCCTCTCTTCCTTACAGAAATGCTTCATGCCAGAGTATTTATGAGTTCTGACCCCTTCTTCCTTATTGAAAATCTTAAATTTGAGGGTTTCCTCATATGAAAAGCTTGCTTCAGTTCCAGCCATAACATTTCAATGGGATTTTGGTCTGGAATTTGACTTGATCAATCTAAAATGCAAAAATTCTTCTTCAGTCATTCTTTTGTAGATCTGATTGTTTGTTTAGGATCAATTTCATGCTCCATGGCCCACTTTTGGCTCAGCTTCAGCTGTTGAATGGCCTGACATGTACTGTACCCCCATGTTTCCATAAACCACTCGTGCTTCTCAGCAATTTCTTTTTTAAGAAGGATCTTGAATGATTACAGCTGGTTTTAGTTTGTTCAAATATTCACTCAAATTGGACATGCTTTATAGCTTTTTGTGAATGCCATTTCAAATATTGTTATGCTTATTACTTCTTTATGCCCATATCATTTGTATCTATTGACATTCATTTAGCATATTCGGCCTGTGTAAATTTGAACGTGATATAAGTTTTACATGTATACTGTATATGAGTGGTTGTGTGAGGCTTTCAGATGCTTCTGTGATTTTTGGTCACATGTTTTAGATGCATCTGTATATGGACACATTCACCAAGTATACCAGTTTACTGATGCATATCTGTATTGTTTTGTAAGCTACGGTATGACAGAAAGTTTGATGGTCAGGATATAATCTGTGTTTATATTTAGATTTCCCACATGTTTGCTTAAATATCAGTATGGGACTCATATCTTACTCTCATGTTCCTAATATTGACCACAATATACTAAATCATAGCTCTTAGACTAAAGTTTTTTATAGTATTTTATGACTGTAAAAGTAAGAGCAGTCAGAGCAGTATTTTCTCAGAGCAGCAGTCCAATGAGCTAGTAAAACATCAACATGATTGTCCAAGTGGCAAACCGAGAGCAAACAAAGGTGCATTGAAATGTTTTTCTCTTCTCTTTCATAGAGCTCTGTCTTAATTGGAAATTAATTGGAAATCTTAATTACTGTGTGTTGGGATGATTGAACATTCTACACAGTCAACATTCAACAGACTTAATAAGCTTACAAGAGATATTATAGTCAGGTTAGCTTAGTTCAGACAACAATATTTACCATACTTAATAAATTTGAAATTCATCAACTTTCTGAAGATGCTGGATTACAAAACTGTTATATTCTCATGTTCATAAAATAGATAAAAGACACACTGTATTGGATGCTTGTAGTGTTGCTAATAGTTACATTAAAAACAAGCTAACATTTGTTGCCCTAGCTTGACCTTGTTTCTGCAGGGAGATTTATCAAAGTAAAAGGCTGTCCAGGTAATACTTAAAGTAATTTTTGTGTCAGTGCACTCCCATGATTAATACTTAAAAACTCTTAAAATCAAGTCTCTCAGAATAAGATAAGAATTCACAAGCTTGGTCTGTAAAAAATAATTTCCATTCCCATGCTGGAAACTTTTTCATTGCTGTCATCTCCTTGTTTTGGAATAATGTTTGCGGTTGACAGGTTTTTATTACTTAGTTTGTGAAACTGCAGATGATTCATTGAAAGTTTGCATGTTTAAGTATTAAACTCCAAAGATGCCTTCATATGAGTTATTTTCACTTAAAAATCACATTATCATCCGGTATGACTGGTTGACTTGTCAGAAAATGCAGTGTTCAGCCAAGTCAATCATGACAATAGACATTTTCTGATTAAAGTATAACTCTAGTTACACAGCTGTTATTTTGTCACTTCATTAGAATTTCTTCAGATTTCTCTACCTATGTCATAATATCAAAGGAAAAGTTTCTTTGAAAGTATTAATCCATCAGAGATTTAGTGTGCTGTTTTCTTTTGGTGCCCTGAAAAATACTAATCTGTATGGGACTCGCAGAACCCCTTGAATTATATGTATTTAACGTTCTCTTAAAACTGGGAGTGAAGCATTTGCTTGTTAGCTGGCATAGCAAATTATTTTACACGCACTCTTCGTAATCTGCAAATAGCATATGGCTCTCCTTTCATTTGGAGACAGCCATATGTTTTTGCAGAGAAGCAGAGGCAAATCTGTTTTTAATTCAAGTTTGCCTTGGATGTTTTTAAATCTAAACCCGATTTTCTTTCTTTGTTTTCCAGCCCTGCAAGACCTTTCCGATTCCCTAAAAGGTAAGTCCTGCCAAAATCTGTATTTTTTTTTTTATTTGAACAGATACTTTTCTCAGACAGTTTATCGGAACTCAGTTGAACACTCATTCCTTGCTAATGAGTCACAGCACTACCTTGAGGAGAGCCGACATGAAAGTATTCATTTAACTCAAAGCCCTTCTCCTCCACGTGAAATGTATTTGCTGTGACATGCTTCCAGATAGATTTGAATGATCGGAAGGACCTGGTGATTAGTTTTAAAATCTATGGAATGTTCCAGTACTTTGTATGCAGTGAAAATCAATCAGCATTTTGTTTTCTCCTTTAAAAAGATGCCTTTTTATGAAAGCTGCACACTCGCAATAAAGCTAATTTCAGTTCTGGGTTTGAAAAAAAAAGTCCACGCCATGTTTTTTGTTCAGGTATTTTATTTATACTTTGTTTAGCATGGGTTAGCAAGGTGTATCCAAGGATACATATTACTCAGGGGAAGGGCAGCCCCATCTGGATTCTGGGTGGGAGGGGTTTGGTCACCTTGGATCTCTTCACATACTAGAAAAAGATGCAGCAATTTACTGAGGTGTCGTCTTGTCTTGTTTAGTGTGCATTATACCTCTTTGAATTTTGCATTTTATTCTTTTCAGTTCACCCTTAAAATCTATTAAAAAATGCAATTAACATGATACATCAGTTACCAGTACTTGTACTTATAATATTAAATCAACTGAAGTAATTTGTTCGTGATAAGCAATTTTTATACAATATATACTGTATACAGTGGATATAAAACGTCTACAGACCCTTATTGAAATTGCAGGTTTTTGTGATGTAAAGCCAGAAATCAAGATAAATCATGTCAGACATTTTTCCATCTTTAATGTGACCTTGCAGCCAACAAAATTCAAGAGAAAAACAGATAATTATTAGGACAAATGGTTTATCTTGATTTCTGGCTTTACATCACAAAAACCTGCAATTTCTATAAGGGTGTTTAGACTTTTTATATCCACTGTATTAAACTAATATAAAGTCTCTGCATACTTCCCTAAGCATTTATTTGTAATTCTAGTACACACAGTTTTATCATTTATTTGGTCACCTAAAAATCACAGGATTCATAACACGTATGTTAAAATATTAATTATGACTTCATTATAATGGATCTGACCAAATATACCATAAAGTTAAAATTAAAGTTAAAAAACACCAATTCAAAGTTTATCATCCCAGAAATTCACCTGCTTTATATGAAAGCAAACTTTTTTTGTATAAATGCATATTTAGATCTAAAGCTTAGAATGCTTTCTCTCAGATGGTGAATCATTTTCCATTGACGTCTTGCAGAACTTAAACTGTTTTTCTATATACCAAATGGGTTATATCAAAGCCCATTTTAGAACCAAAGACAAATTGCACTGTAGTTCACTAGTTTTACTCTTTTCCCACAGAAAAGGCATAGCCTGCTTCACAACAATTGGCTGTGAAAGGTTTTCCTGGATTATGAAATAAATAAGGGAGCTGCAGGCTGTTTTTTTATAGATATTACACATTTTGGTATGTTCAAGGATCTGTTAAGCTGTGTTCATTTAATTTAAGAAGTTATAAATAATATCCCATTAAGATCCTGTCTAATATGACCATTTGTTATCATTCTCACTTAGTCTTTCTTCATCATAACTAAGATTTGGTTTGTGTGCTTAAATGAGCTTACAGGAGCCAAGCATTAGATTTAATTACAATAACCATAAGATTTAAATATAGAATCTTATCAAAGGTATTCTACAGTTAGACTTACGAATACATTAAAACATTACTGATGACTAAGCCTAGACAAAATACATTTAAATTTCTAAGTATTGCTTTGCCTAGAAGGAGTAAGGTGACCAGATTTCCAGATATGATCACTATGGATAACATAGTGTGCTGCCAAAATATAATAATCCTTTGTCTGTTTACTTGCATGAGAAAAGATGCAATAAAGAACTCATGTATAATAAAAAACGTGCAACTTTTGTGTACTATGTAAGTTACAAATGACTTATAAAGAAGGCCAGAGGCCAGTACGTACAAAGTTCAAATTTCATATTTGTGAAACCACTGGCATTTCATTTTGGTCTGGATAAAGCATCTGGGTTTTGTAAGTGTCGGTTTTCCTCACAAATGCATCCAATCTTTGCCGTGTTTTATCCCAGAATTTTTTTTTCTGCAGTAACATAAACCCCTGCCTGAGTTCACTTAAGTATGATATTCAACATCAACCAAAGCCTTCCCTGGTTTGAAAACAGAAAATCTGGATGTTTTAATTTCTCATCACAAATGTTTTCATTGAAAAGAGCGATTTAAGAATGTTTTCTGTGTATTTTTTTCTTGTGTTTTTACATTTGAAAATCAGTTAAAATGACCTGCACATATAACAGTGATTTTCCCTGGGGTAAATCAGCAGTCTTTGTATTTATTTTCCTGCATGGAGAATTCAGGTCTCCGTAAGGGGTTTTGATCTTCATATTCTAATGTTGTTCATTCTTGGTCTTTGTAGTTATGCAGCACTGATAGCTGACTGGCCTGTTGTAGTGCTGGGAGTGTGTACCGTGCTTATCGTGGTTTGTGCACTTGTGGGGATTTTAGTGCCAGACCTGCCAGACTTCTCAGATCCCTTGTTGGTGAGTTGTAATCCACAATCAATGTCTTGTATGTAAACCAAAAGCAGCACAGAAAATTTCATAGATAAGATTTCATAAAATAATTTCCATTTTGATGTTATCTTTAGTTGTGATCTGTAATTAAAGATTATGAACAGCAAATCAATCATCATTGAATAAATATACAAGAAGTAGTGAGGCAATTGAATTAAAAGCAATAAAAGTGCCAAGTAGAATGATTTCAGTCATTTAATAGTAATTTATACAAATGTTTTGCAACATCTCAAGAGTTATCAGCCCTTTACTACAGATTTTGGAGAGGATTCTCTTGTGGTTCATGCTATAAATTGTCACGTCATCTTAAATATTGAGAACCTTCAATGGCAAGAAACATGTACACACTGAATATGTGACTTTTTTTCTTAAGATCATCTTTGCATCATTTAGTTTCTGTTTCTGTTATCCCTCTTGCTGTTAAAGCTCTGCAGCAAAGTGGCTGCCCCGTGGGAACAGCAGCTGTTCACAATTGAAAAACAGGAAAGGGATCTGTCTTTGTGGCAGAGCTGCTGACCTCTTGGAATATAGGATTGGGCTGTGAAAGTGGAAGATGTCAAAAATCACTACTAACTGAGGATTTGAAAGAAAGGTCTTCAAATGAACATGTTTTTATAGTATTTTGAGATGCTCAATACTTGGATTTAAAGATTTCACATTGTGATGTGTGGGTATACCCCTACTGTACATCTCCATTAGTACCTTAATCTTTGTTTATGCATCTGACTATAGATATGTTCACAGGGCAACATGAATACATCTACAAAACAAAAAGATGCTTTTCTTAAATTGTTTAAATCATGAGCCCACATTTAAATGAATAGATAAGCTAGTCAAGTTTTATAAAAAAAAATATTTTGGTTGTTTCATTTAGAAAGTGACATTAAACATTCTGTTCCTGTCTTAATTTCTTAACTGCAGGGTTTTGAACCAAGGGGGACAGAAATTGGTCAGCGGTTAGTTACATGGAACAACATGGTGAAAAACACAGGGTACAAAGCAACTCTTGCAAACTATCCTTTCAAGTACGCAGATGAGCAGGCAAAAAGGTAATTTGTGTGCGTACTAGATGTTGACTTTGTGTGGTTGAACTGTTCCTATGAAGTGTGACATAATACACATATTTACATCCTTAACCTTTTCCATAAAGTTTGCCATGTGTATGGTGTTTACCATTATGATTTATATACAGTACATTTATTAAGTATTTACCCACCCCCACAGATGCATATATTTTTGTTATGACTGGAATTATTACTGGTTGGTTGAGAAATTTTCCCCTTGACTCACACAACTTGTACGTAACAAGTTAAAGTGGCAGAAATATTTTTAAAATAATGAAATATTAAAAATGAAAATATCTTGCTTACTGAAGTATTCATCCCTGGAGTCAAAACTTTGTAGGACCTCATTTTTGGAGCAAATACTTTTTGGAGCAAAGAAATAGTCTTCTTGGGTATCTCTGTAGAAGCTTTGTACATCTGGATTTGGGGATGTTCTCCCTTTCTTCCTTGCAGACTTGCTCAAGCTCTGTCAAGTACAGTATGATGGTTTCTTTGGCCTTGCACAGATTCTTAATGGGATTCAAGACAGGACTTTGGCTGGGCCACTCAAGGACACTTGTCTTCTTGTTCTGTAACCACTGCAATGTTGTTGTTTTGTCCTGTTGGAATTTGAATCTCTGCCCCAGGGTTATGTCTTTTGCTGTCTGAAGCAGGTTCTCCTCAGTGATTTGCCTGTATTTGGCTTCATTCATTTTTCCCTCTATCCTGACTAGAGCCCCGGTCCCTGTCACTGAAAAGCATCAACTTAAGATGATTCTTCTACCACATGTTTAATGAAGTTACGCAGGTGATGAGCTTTGTTCAGTTTTCTCCAGGTATAGTTATTTCAGTTTCAAAGGCCAAAAAAATTCAATTTGTGTTTCATCAGACCATATTTAGAATTACTTAAATTAGAGAATCTTTTGCCTCAGTGATTGCTTTTTTGCAAATTCCAGACTTGCTGATAGCTTCCATCTAGCCAGTTTCCTATGGAGTCTGAATCTGTGTGGTGGTGCAGAGATTATAATCTTTGGACAGGCTGTCTGATCTCAGCCATGGAGCTCTGTAGGTCTGTCAGGGTGGTCATTGTGTTCTTTGTCACATCTCTGACCAAGATCCTACTTGCCCAGATGCTCAATTTTGATGGATTACCTGCTTTAGGAAGAGGTAAGGTGCTTCTTTATTCTTTCAATTTCCTAATGCTGCACATAGAAGTTTTCCTGGAAACTTTCAACACCCTAGATATGTTTTTTTATACACCTCGCCACATTTGTGCCCTCTCAAAATTCTATTTTGGGTTCTACAGACAGTTCTTTGGTCTTCATGCTAGTTTTGGAGTTGCACTGGTAAACCGAGAGATTGACAGGTATATTTCTGTTGAAATCCTTTTGGCCAAAAGAAGTGACCACAGCCAGACTCTTGGCTCAGAGTGTCATAGCAAAGGGGATGAATACTTGTCAATTCAACATTTTAAAATATTATTTTATATTAGATATTAAACATTTCCAGAACTTTTGTTCCATTGTTCCATGCTCTTATAGATGAATATTTGTAGACAAAATTCCATATGCTGTATATGTACTGTATTCCTCTTTGAGTGTACAATTTAACAAATTGTAAAAAAAATCCAAGGTGGTTGAATACTTTCTGAAGGCATTGTATGTATTTCTACTATTATGACAGCTTTGATGGCTATTAATAGAACTTATTTTAAGTGAGAGGAAACCCAGCTTGTGATTTAGCAATTCTTAACTCGTATTGTGTAAAGTGGTTCATATTTTAAAAGCAGTGTATAAATTAAGTGTTATAGTCACTAATGATTCACGTCTGAATCAAATCTAATTGACTTGTTGTCCTAGGTTTGTAGTCATCAAGCTGGATAGCTACATTTTTTATAATAAAATACAGATCTGTCAGGATTTGTTAGCCTAAACAAAATGTTTTTATTAGGTAATTAACATATCTTTGTTTTTTTGTGTGTGAAGAAGGAAAAACTGTAAATAAAACAGTAGAACAATGGGTAATACTTTTTCACACCAGTCTCTATTTCATTCTTGTTTTGGGGTGTCGATTATCAATTGTTATCTATTTTCCCATCCATTTTTGTCTTCATTAATACAGAACAGTTAACATGTTTCTCATGATAAGGAAAATATAAATCTAATTGAATATATTCATGTGTACTGTCAAAAGTTAATATACTGTAATGGCTTTTTCCCCTGTCTCTGAATAACTTGAAGTTGGCTTTTTCGTACTTGTAGTCACCAAGAAGACAGGTGGTCAGATGATCATTATGAAAGAGATAAAAGACAAGCAGAATGGGATTTCAGCAAGGACAGCTTCTTCTGTGATGTACCTGGTAGGTAAATCAGAATGCCAGATTTGCTGATCATACATTAGATTATCATATTATAAAACTGCACACTACAATAACTCTAATATTATGCACTGTAATGGATATAATACTTTGTATTCTGCTTTTCTGCATACAAAAATAGCACTTGAAAACAAGGTAACTTATGAGGATGGAATTTATTGTGTAGGTTATGCTTCTCTGTATTAAACCTCCCAATAGAGAAGGTTGTAATGAAAAAAAATGAGTAGAAGTCATGCAGGGCTTGTTGCAATTGTGAGACAATTGAGTGTGCCTCATTTCAGAGATTTTATATTAAAAAGTAGTACTTTTCGACACCAGATTCATACGCTATACTGTGTGTCACTTTCTTATGATTGCAGTAAGAAGATGATTGGTTAGTTTGTTATAGTGGCATTCCAAGGCATATTTAAATGCTTTTAAAGTGTTGACTTTCATTGACTCCTCGCTGTAAGATTTGCAGATCTCTTGCACTCTCCTGCAACATTTGCATGAATGTGTGATGCATGATCTGTTGACAGTATTGTGTGGTTTCCATTGAATTTTTCCTAGTATTTATATAGTGGCTTTAGGATTTTACTTCTTCAACAAATGCACAGTAAGAGACAACTTAAAATATTGTGCTTGTGTCCAACAGGTGATCAGTACTCCAGACTGGTCTTCACGTCTGCTGAAGGAAAGAATTTGTGGAGCATTCAAGCAATTAAATCAATGTGCAATCTAGATAATGCACGAGTAAGTTAACCTCTTTAAATGTTTTGTTTAAAGTGTTCTCTTTGACTTCTTGGATATGATAGTGTTCAATAATTTCTCTGGATTGTGTTCACTTTAATAGTTGGAATGCTGTGTGTTATCCTGGAATCAATTATTTCAATGTTTTTCAAGGTCTTCTCTTTACAATATTAAAATTCCTGTGCAATGGATTCCAACATAGATTCCCAAAATGTAGGGAAAACATAATTGTTCTTAAAAGGCACATAATAAAAGACTCTTTCACTATTATAACAGCACAAATAGTAATGGCTGAGGTGCAATGTATCCAGGATTATAATGGTACAGTAAACACCGATATTCAGTCCCCATCCTGGAAGTTCACTATGTTTTCTCATTTTCATTTCACCCTGGTCTGTATTCATTGAGGACTTTAAGTTAATATAGAACTTGGTGGACTGTGGCCCTCCAGGACCAGGAGTGAATATCAGTGATCTAGACAGTGAAAGGGAAAGTAGTATTGCAGTACGTAAATGTGGATATATAAATGACAGTTTAGTGCAGGTGTTTATGAAGAAAGAAAGCAAAATAATGCCTGGGGCGGCAGAAGGAACACATTATGTATTAATATTAGTAACATAGAAGAAGTACAGTATTTTGTGTACCAGAAGCACTTGGGTTTAACAAATCTCTGATGGTATTCCACTATTTGTACTTAATGAAAGAGATACAGTACAACACATCACACACTGAAACTACTCTTCCAACAATCATTTGAGATGGGGATAGTACCCATGCAATGGAGGATTGCTAATATATTGCCCATCCATAAAAATTTTAACTAGTAAGTCTGATTTATGTTACATGTAAGAGAGTTGAACCAATAATTGGAATTAAACTAGAGGATCAACTATATTATATAGATTATATTAACATATAATCCTAGGGGATAATCACCATGAATTTAGAAAAGTTAGGTCTTGCTTAACTACAGTAGCTTTGTGGAGTTCCTCAAACAAGCACCAACCAATTTTCACATTACATTTTCAAAAAGATATTCATAAAGTACAGATAAAGGGTCAATGAGGTAATTAGCAGAGTACCTCAGGGATCTGTGCTAGGACGAGTACTTTTCAAATTGTTTAATGATCTCTAAACTCTGGTGTACTGTACTTTGCAAAGCAATATAGGAGAACTGGCAAACACGGTAGGAGTTTCAGATAAATTTCAAGACTGATTAAATGCTTTGAAAAAATGTTTAGGCAAGTACAGAGTATTATATGAGGGTAGCAGAAACATAAACTATAGCTACAAAATGGGAAACACTGAGAGGCTATGTATGAAAAAGACTTGGGAATCTGTTGACATATCATTTGCGTATTATAGATAAGGTGTGTGATCAATAAAAAAGGCCATTGAAATGTTAGGATAGATATTGAAAAGCACAACATTTAAATTATTGGTTGTCAGAATTCTACTATTAAGACCTCATGTTTTATGAATAGTCTATGCATTTAAAAATAAGGTCTTCATAAAAGATCAATAAGGACCTAAGACTTTCATAAATAAGGACATGAGAATCACAGAAGGTTGAACAAGCTCCCAAGAACAAGTTACCTAGCCATCTTGTTGTACAAAGCCATCAGTACAAATGACTTCAATAGGCAAAATGGACCAAATGGTCTTTTCTCATTTATAACTCTTTTTATTTAAGAGCTCTTAGTTTTTGTAGAATTAACTAATTATCCACTGAATTGCACATGAATGAAATGTCTGAAAATGAAGGTGTTAAATGCCCACTTACCGATCAAGAAAAGCACAAGATCCCCCATCCCCTGAAGACTGGGATTTGATTCTTCTAAAATGACTCAGCAGTTTTTTTTTTTCATGAACATACACACCTCCTTCAGGAGCATCTGCAGATTATAATAGTAGTTTTTTTTTATTACTTACTGTAGGTGTGCACCCATGCTCAGAAAGTAGGACTATATAAATGAGGAGTTTAAAAAATGTGCTAAGGTGCTTTATTTACATGTGTCTTTGGCCCAAATATTTACATTATACTAACAACTCTAAAACTCCCTTTAAGCGTCACTTTCACAAAATCTTGTTCCTTCTCTGGCATTCAAAAAGCTTATAGCAACCACAGCTCCAGAAATCAGCAATATCTTATCAAACTCCACCCTCATCCACAGAGAGATCTGGTCTTCCCAAAAGACCAGGTCTCCACCCAGAGACTGGAGCTATATCTGATATGGAAACCGAGACATACATAATTAAGGATAAAGTGTGCCTTGTTAAATTAGTTCTCCATCTTTTTTGGTAGTTTAACTTTTGGCCTTACTGCATCAAAAAGTACTACAATCCTCCCCAGAAATATTTCAAAAAGCAAAAGGATTCCCACAGGTGTGGAAAAACTTGCTGTTCCCTTTTTCTTGTTGCAATATAGTAGTTCTTAACTCTTGTTCTGCTTTCTAACACAGGTTCGATCACATCCACAGTACTGGGATTTGTGCCAGCGCACCTCTCATGCCTCATGCTGCCCAAGCTGGACTCTGGGCAACTATATTGCCATCTTAAACAACAGATCCTCATGTCAGAAAATTACAGACCGTGATGTTTCTCATACCCTAAAAATACTCCGCTCTTGTTCCAAATACTACTACAATGGCACACTGGGACCAGACTGCTGGGATATGACAGCTCGAAGAAAAGACCAATTGAAGTGTTCTAATGTGCCTCGGAAGTGCACAAAATACAATGCAGTTTATCAGATTCTTCACTTTCTAGTGGATAAGGACTTTCTGAGTCCAAAAACTACAGATTATGTTATGCCAGCTTTAAAATATAGCATGTTGTTTTCCCCAACTGAAAAGGGAGAAACCATGATGAACATTTACCTTGACAATTTTGAAAACTGGAACTGTTCTGATGGCATCACAACAATAACTGGGATCGAGTTTGGAATCAAGCATAATTTGTTCCAAGATTACCTTTTAACGGATACTGTGTATCCTGCCATTGCAATTGTGATTGTCCTTTTGGTCATGTGTGTGTACACTAAGTCAGTCTTTATCACCTTGATGACTATGTTTGCAATCATAAGCTCCTTGATTGTCTCTTACTTCCTATATCGCATAGTGTTTAGCTTTGAATTTTTCCCCTTTATGAACCTCACGGCACTTATCATCCTTGTTGGCATTGGAGCAGATGATGCCTTTGTCCTGTGTGATGTTTGGAACTATACTAAATTTGACAAGCCCAACTCTGAGTTGTCAGAGACAGTGGGGATTACCTTGCAGCATGCTGCCCTCTCTATGTTTGTTACTAGTTTCACCACAGCAGCTGCCTTCTATGCTAATTATGTCAGTAACATAACAGCAATCCGGTGCTTTGGTGTGTATGCCGGCACTGCTATACTAGTCAATTATATTTTAATGGTAACCTGGTTGCCAGCAGTTGTTGTTTTGCATGAACGATACCTGCTCAACATTTTTACATGCTACAAGACTCCCCAGCAGAGGGTGTACAACACCAAAAGCTTTTGGACTTTGCTGTGCCAAAAGATTAATAAGTTCCTCTTCACAGTGTCTGAAGCCTCAAGGATATTCTTTGAGAAAGTTCTCCCTTGTATTGTAATCAAGTTCCGCTACATTTGGCTGTTTTGGTTCCTTGCCATCACAGTAGGTGGGGCTTACGTTGTTTGTGTAAACCCCAAAATGAAGTTGCCTTCTCTTGAGCTGTCCGAGTTCCAGGTCTTTAGGTCTTCCCATCCTTTTGAACGTTATGACGCTGAATACAAGAAGCTCTTCATGTTTGAAAGAGTCCACCATGGAGAAGAACTCCACATGCCCATTACAATTATCTGGGGGATCATTCCAGAAGACAATGGAGATCCACTTAATCCCAAAAACAAAGGAAAACTAACACTGGATAGCCACTTTAATATTGCCAGCCCAGCATCGCAGGTTTGGATTTTAAATTTCTGCCAAAAGTTGCGAAACCAGAGCTTCTTTTACCAAACAGACGAGCAGGATTTCACAAGCTGTTTCATTGAGACGTTTAAGCAGTGGATGGACAATCAAGACTGCGATGAGGCGACAGTGTACCCATGCTGCAGCCAGTCCACATTCCCCTACAAGCAGGAAGTCTTTGAGCTTTGTATAAAGAGAGCAATCATGGAACTTGAAAGAAGTACTGGGTATCATTTAGATAGCAAGACTCCGGGACCCAGGTTTGATATCAATGATACAATCAGGGGTGTTGTACTGGAGTTTCAGAGCACTTATCTTTTCACACTGGCTTATGAAAAGATGCATCAGTTCTACCGGGAGGTAGACAGCTGGATCAAGGAGGAACTCCAGACTGCCCCTGAAGGCCTGAGCTCTGGGTGGTTTGTGAGCAACCTGGAATTCTATGACTTGCAGGACAGTTTATCAGATGGCACTCTAATTGCTATGGGACTGTCTGTGGCAGTTGCTTTCAGTGTAATGCTGCTTACAACATGGAACATTATAATAAGTCTTTATGCCATTTTATCTATTGCTGGAACAATATTTGTCACAGTAGGTTCGTTAGTGCTTCTTGGATGGGAGCTCAATGTATTGGAGTCGGTGACCATTTCTGTTGCTGTAGGCCTGTCAGTGGATTTTGCTGTCCATTATGGGGTGGCTTATCGCCTCGCACCAGAGCCAGACAGAGAGGGCAAGGTGGTTTTCTCCTTGAGTCGGATGGGATCTGCTATTGCCATGGCTGCTCTGACAACATTTGTTGCTGGTGCAATGATGATGCCATCCACCGTCCTGGCCTACACTCAGCTGGGGACCTTCATGATGCTCATCATGTGCATCAGCTGGGCTTTTGCCACTTTTTTCTTCCAGTGTATGTGCAGATGTTTGGGACCGCAAGGTACCTGTGGTCAGATTCCCCTGCCCAAAAAGTTACAGTGCCAAGCATTTTCCAAAAGAACTTCAGCAGCTCCTGCCACCAGAAGTCAAAGTAAGTTGTGCCAAATGAGTAAGTATCAGCTGGATGCCAGAAATACTGAGGTTGAACATGAGCACTATGAACTAGAGCCTTTAGCGTCCAGCAGTGGGACCGTTGAGAAGGCACCATCTGAAGAAGCAAAAATGAGCTCCAGACTACACAATGGAAGACCCACTCAGAACTGTATGCACATACCCAGTAACAAAGCAGAGGCTGAAAAAAGTGGAGCTCCTGAGAAGGGACCTAAGACTCCTTTAGACCAGGCCCATGTATGCCATTATACTACACATAATACAAACTGTAATGTAAGAGACCCACACCAATGTGTAGGCATGCAATGGAGCCCTCATTCTCGTTCACAAATTGGAGATGCCTTTTGTGCCCAGTGCATTTCTTCTGCTGCTAATTCATTAAAAGTTCAAAGTCCAATGTCTCCCGTCGATAAAATGCATGCTTCTATGGAATGTCACGTGCATTATGTTCATCATGCCCACCCTCACTACCACTCTTGTTCACAAGGGAGAGCAAAGAGACATGCATCTCATAGCTATCACCTGAGAAACTACTGTGTACATTCAGTCCACCAGCTCCACCAGCAACCCTGTGAACATCAGGCTTCAGAAACTCAGAGCTCTAGGTGTGCAGAGGACGCCCTAAGAACTCTTTCTGACAGCACCAACCCAGTAATTGACAGAATTGTAGATTCCACTAAGACACAAAGTGGAGCCGCAGCTTCTCAGTGTGGTGAAACACAAAACTGGAAAGTGCAGGGCAATGACACAGGAAGCCCAGATAGAGACAAAATCAGTGGTCAAAACACAGAAAGCTGGGAGTTGGAGAAAAATGATCCCAATGAAAAGATGTCTGGTGGTCTTGAACAGTCAGAAACTACTTTCGTTACCCATGAGAAGGTGAAGAAAGATCTAACCAGTCCTCAGTGTAAAAGCAAGACACCTGCAGTCTCACCTGAAAAAATCTATTTTAACAGAACTTTGAAAGTTAAGTGCAATTCTGTTGACTGTTCAATTCCAACCTCTGAAGCCAATGTGCCTGCTCTCTCAATAAGTTCACAACCTTCATCTGAAAGTTTATGTTAACCTGAATCCAAGACTTTCTAACAATAAAACTCAATATATCGCCATGAATTGATGTGTTCCTTCTTAATAAATATCTGGGATTTCACAGACCAAAATTATCCTGTACAAGCAATTAAGTCTCTTTGTTTTCACAAACATTTTTATCAGGATATTGTTTTAACAATCATTGGACAAGTGATCAGGATCTTTTAACATGCAAAAATCTAAAAAAGCTGCTTGGTATAATTTGCAGAAGTCCTTAATTAAAAATGGAATTGTGGGGCAGCTAGACTTCCTTTTATAAATGGGCTGAAGTACAGTAAATGTTTCTTCTGGGACTGGAATTAATAAGTAACACTCATTGGTGATGTTTTTTTTTTCTCATGGCAGATTGCCTGTGTAATGACTTCATTTTACCTCCTTTTGTGATAGATGTATGGTCATCTCTGATGTTTAACATTTAGTTTAGGAAACTGGAATACTGAGAGTATCTTGTCCATTTTTCAAAACGCAGTGTGGGAGTGTGCTTCATTTAGAGTGTTTTTTTCCCCAAGAATCTGCTAAAATGTAACAAATCATGGCCATGACCTTTGAAAATATGCTTGAAGTTTGATTTACTAGTGCATTTTAAAAAAATATTTGAACCCTGAGAGAATATTTCATTCTTCCAAAACCTAGAAGCTTTGATCAGAACAGATCTTGGAAAAGCAACTATTACTTTTCAAAGCCCCACATTCATATTGATTTGTTTTTTTCATGACTTAGGTTTTGTATCCTTCTGTTATCAAATTTCACCAGCTTAAAAAAAAAATCTTAATCATTTGTTCTTTGTTGTGCTTAGTGATGTTGCTGAAGTGGTTTATGGGGATTTCATACATATTTAAGTGTGGGTTTTGTCAAATTAACTGACACTACAAAAACAACAATAATATACCACTGTACTCACAAATCCGGTAACCAGCAGCCATGGTAGGTTGTTGGAGGCCTTTAGGGCTTTACTTATAGTTAATACTGACAGGTGTTGAATTCCTAGACTTAAAATGCTCTGCGCTTAAGAAGGGGCCCAGTGTCTTCAGTTGTAAGCATTGCTCAGGATCTTTCCATATTAAAATACAGATATGTTTAATGTTGGATTCCAGAGTATTCCAATGATACTTCTCGAAAAGTAAGATCTTCAGCAACAGAAAGACCTTTATTTTAATTTGCTAGTATTTCATTGGTCTGCTTTCTTTTAAAAATTTTAGTTGACAGTAGTTAGAGGTTCATGGTTAAAACACCGTGAAATACAAGTTGAGAGAGTTGCTTCATCATGTTTCTTAGATGAGATAGATTACTGTATCTGGTTGTTTACCTTGGAACTAGTCACCCAAAACCACTGTCAAATGAAGTAAAAATAGAAGAGAAAAGTGAAAACTGTATTTAATTAAAGTAATCTTTTCAAAATTATTTATTAAAAAATAAACCTGTAAGGTAACATGCAAAATTTCTGAAGAGATCTTAAAGTGAACAGGGGAATTTGCTCAACAACTGAATAATAATGTGTCTGCTTTTGTATGACTAATTTAAGTGCGGTGTAATTAATGTGCTGTAGTTTCCCAAACTTAAACTCCTCACTTGTGATACACAAAGAAATCACTTTTATTTATTTATTCAGTCTTTATTTACATTTACAGTTCCTTCATTTGAAATGTGTCTTCAGAGTACTAGCGGTGACATTTCGTTGCAGCCACTTTATGGAAAAAAGTCTAGCTGTCTTCTTTTTCCAGGAAAAAAGGGAATCAATAACATGAATTTTAAATGTTCTTAAGTTATATATGTGTATACAACATTCAAAATGAAATGGCATATATTGCTTAGGTGTTCTACAATGGAAGGTTTACTAAGAATCAAAAGACTGTAATAAAGTTTTCCATTCAATTATAAAAGTCTTGTTTAATTTATCCATACGTCTTGTACTTTTTTTTGTACTGGGTACATGAATGGGCAGGTAGCTCAGAATTTGTATGGTTTTCTTAATCTAATGCCTGCAAGAAAAAAAATACTGAATTTCACATTTAGAAAAGGCAGCTGTTCTGTCGGACTATTCAAAGCCCTCGGTAGGAGGCACAGCCTTTGGGGCTGCAGAGGAGCTGCTGTCAGCCCCTCCCTTTCTGCCCACCTCCCCTACCCTTGAGCAGGGGCTGCAACATCTGGCACTGGGATCAACTGTTCTAGTCCCAGGTTGTCTCCCCAGGATGTCAAGGATGCAGCGGTACCTATTACAATACAGTGTATATGCACACAGTACTGTATATAGTGATAGTGTACATGGGGGTCCCTACTATACAATAGGGTTAGGTACCAGAAAGGAGATACATAGAGCAAAAAGATTTCGACTGGGGGAAATGTGCTGCAATGAACTGGAGTCCCGTTCCTGTGCTGCGGCTGTTACTTGCCAGGTTAGGCTCCCCACGACCCCAAATAAGAACACGTGGTGAGAAAAGAGGTGGATGGCAGATTAAGGGGGGGAAATGAGTAATTTTAAACTTAACATATGGGAGTCAATGTGAGAAACTGAAATAATTGGAATAATTGTAAGGATAGGGACGGGAAGGTGGGGTAGCATTTTTCATGTGTAGCAACCTAAAAATGTGAACAGTTCAAGTACTTTACACGTACCTTATAACAGCTTTTTTTTACATGCTGCACACTGATTTGAAAGCTATTTTTAAACATCTTTAATAGTATTTAACCCATTTTTAATGGAAAACTATATTCAACACATTTTATAATAAAACATCTTCACCCCAATCTATCACATTTTTAAACATTTAGTATTTTAAAAAATATTTTAAGTGTATGGATACAAATGTACCTTCGTGTATCAATGTTGTTTATGATCTTACCTTGAGAAAGTGACGAGTTTTTCTTGATTGCCTTGCATCACTAACAACATCCATTAGAAACAGGCTCTGCCATGGTTGTCGCAGTGGTTTTCTTCACAATTTCAGTAGGTCCTGGTTGAGGCTTCTCTGTAAGTGGCTAGAGTTCATTGGGTTTCTTTTTAAAGAGTCAAAGGTTGACTACTTTGTCTTTTAAATTTACTGTTTTATTTAAAATTTCTTTTTGCTTTGTCTTTTAAATTTATGGCATGATAAAGCATCTTTTACAGTCTGTTTCACTTTTGAAGAACAGCTGGAGTGTTAAGTGTCTGGATGAGATTCAACATGGCACAGGCATGTTCACAAAAACGCTGTTGCTCTGTAACTGTGAACCCTTTTGGTTGGAAGAATCATCATCTATACTCTCTCACAAGTTTGCTTGTCTGATTCAGCAAGGTCTTCATTACTTACAGGCATGTTTTGCAACTCCAACAGATCTTCCACATTGTTGTCTCCTACCTTTTCAAAAGTAGCCTGCTTTGCTGGCTTGGTATCATCTAACAGTAGTTATACACTGCATCTGGATATGGGTTTTGCAAAACCAAGTTCATTAAGTGAGAAGAGAATAAATCTAAAATGTTTAGATTTCCAGATTTCCAGAAATCTTGGACTGGAGTTTTTCCTCATCAGTTTCAGTGCTAGATTTATGGAATGCCCGTCACAATTCTAGCTGGGCATAATGCTTTGAACATGGGCTGCCACATTGTGTTCTGTGTCATAAACATACAGTAGCTTTTTCAGTATGTTTGAACACTTTCAAACGTTTGACATTATCAACAAGCATGAAAACTCCCACCCAGAAGCCGTCTCAATTGTAGTTGGGGACTTCAACCACTGCAATTTGAGGAAAGTACTGCAAAAATACATTCAGCATGTCACTGTACGGACAAGAGGAGGCAATATTTTGGACCACTGCTACACAACAATAAAAGGAGCATACAAAGCGCTTCCCAAACCGAGTTTCGGTAAGTCGGACCACATTGCTCTCCTGTTGCTTCCTGAGTACAAACAGAAGCTGAAGACCTCCCCAGTTGCGAACAGGTCAGTGTGTTGTTGGTCTGAGGAGGCGGAAAGCAGGTTAATAGACTGCTTTGATAGTACAGACTGGGACGCATTCACAGCTCCCGACACAGATTTAAATGAGTATACGGACGCGGTCACCGGCTATATTAAATACTGCACCAACATTTGTGTACCAGAAATGAAAATTAGGTCATTTCCCAATCAGAAACCATGGTTCAACAACGATATACGCAATAAAATAAAAGATAGATCCACCGCGTTCAAATTGGGGGACAAAGAGCTGTACAGGAAATCATGGTATGCATTAGAGGAAGCCATAAAACACGCCAAATGGAGCTACATAGTGCCGCTTGAAACGCAGTGCGCTGACACCCGAAGGCTGTGGCAGGGATTACAGTCAATCACAGGCTACAGGGGCTGCAGTCAGGAGACTGACACAAACAACCCCCCTGCCTGACGAGCTAAACCATTTCTATGCCCGCTTTGATGCTCTGAACACGGGCAATGCTGAGAAGACCCTAAGTGTGCTGTACAGTGTACAGTGTGCAGGGCGAGTTTGAGCAGGACGTGCAGAAGACTCTGAGCAGGGTGAAAATCCGTATGGCTGCAGGGCCTGATGGGATACCACCTCGCGTCCTGAGGACATGTGCAGCCCAGCTAACCACAGTGTTTACGGACATCTTTAACATCCCTGTCACAGTCCAATTGTTACTACCTGCTTTAAAAAAAAACACTATTGTTCCACCCCCCAAAAAGGCAAAAGTGACATGCCTGAATGATTACCACCCAGTAGCTTTAACATCTGTGGTGATGAAATGCCTGGAGAAGCTGGTATAGTCACACATCAACTCCTCCATCACAGAGTCCCT